AACAATGCTGATAACAAATTAAGAGCAATATTCGAAATATTAGGCAAAGATCTAAAAACTCAAATCATTGCTCTGTGCAGTGGTTACCCAGGGGAGATCATAAAATAGAAAGCTGAGGTTTAGTGGGGAATCTCAGCAGAGGAGTGACACCCCTCCAAACAATTTGGTCCCCAAATTGTTCATTAGAGAAGCAGCAGTCTTCCACGCTTTGGCATATGGAAGTCTTACTCCAAGCCTCACCCTCTTTAATGACAAAAGCAAACAGAAAAACAAAACAACCCCCCACCCCCCAAAAAAACCCTTTGGTTGTGTAATGAGTCAGTTTGACTGTGACCTCTGTCCTGCAAGTCCTTCTCGGTGACATCATAGCTTGTTGCCACGGGAAGCTAAAGAGAGCAACCATTGTGCGTGAGGGCGTGCACACACACACGTGGATGTGCTGAGACGAGGGGTTGTCTGGCAACAGTCACATGTCAGATGGCAATTTGCAGCTTAGAACCTCAGAGAGGGTTTGTTTTCTTCTTCTGTCTGTTCCAGTTACTAAACTGATGGCAGATGTCCTCATTAAGAGCTATTAGCACATCAGAAGATGTTTGCTGAGCTTAGAAAAGGGCTCACCCCTTTTGGACATGGACCAAAATACATCTTCTCCGGTAGCCAACCGCGCCCTGGCGGGGACAGTGGAGGGGGTGAGAAGCAAAGAGAAGCAGGTTCTCTTAAACCTCTACATCAGCCAGGAAGTCTTTTTTAGCATGAGTTTATGTTTTAGTCAAGGACTTCCATAACTCAAGAATGTAACATTGTAAAGTTGGATTTGCCTACTTGTCGAAACACTGTTACTGTTACCCTGAAATAGATGTTTCTTGATTTCTCTTTATGATACCAGAACCCTGTGGCAAATTAGGGACTGACTGGCTTGTATGGACTGTTTATAGTGCTGAAGAAAGGAACTAATAGGGAAGTGAGTAGAAAGTAGAGATCAGGGAAGGCAGATTTGAAGGAGGCCGTGGTTATATTGATAGAAACATACTGGGGTAGAGTTGGGACCCTTAGTCTAAGGTATAAAGTGACAAGCAGTCCTGGAAAGTCCCTGGCAAATTCCGTATTAATCTGGCACCTCTGCCTGGCCGCGTGGCAGACCTTTGTGCGTGTGTGCGTGCTAAGTCACTTCAGCCATATCCGACTCTTGGACCGTAGCCCGCCAGGCTCCTCTGTCCATGGGATTATCCAGGCAAGATTTCTCCAGAATGGGTTGCCGTGCCCTCCTTTGGGGGATCTTACCAACCCTAGGGATCAGACATGTGTCTCTTACTCTCCTGTATTGGCAGATGGGTTCTTTACCACTAATGCCTCCTAGGAAGCCTGGCACACCTCTGTAGGTGTTTGAGTTCACTTCTCAATTCCTGAAGGACTTGAGGGATGGTGTTATCTCCCGAGCCATGTTCTGATTCAATGCTGGTCAACACACTTGGCCATCCCACCCAGCCTACATTTTTTCACTTCCATGCTATCAATCCCCAGTGTAAATTTGGCTAAAATTTTCTTTAACTTTTGGGATTGATTCCATATCTCTCTGTGCCCTCATGAGGGCAATATGTGTATAAAGTTCTTCCCAAACCACTAAATGATCAACGATAATCTGGACTGTTAAACAAGATCAGAGGAAAGCATTGACCTTTATCTTGTAGGTAGAAAGCTAAGGTGCAAGTGGAAAAGGGATTTTCAAGGAAAGAAAAAAGCACAGGAGATGGATGCAGAAACTTGCAGGATTGGGAGCTGGGTTTATTCTGGTTTTGCTTTATTTTTTTCCTATTGAGGTTCACTGACATAGGGAAAAAAATACCAGGTAGGTCAGAAGCAACTTGAGTGTTTTCTTTTGAGAGCTCTCATACCCACTGGACTAATGGCAGTATCATGCCCTTTGACACCAACAAGGCAAGAGTTCAGTCTCTTGGGACTGCCTGTCATAGTTGTGTTGCCCTGGCAACCTAAGCTGGCAGTGGCTCAGTTTCCTCATCAGAAATAAAAGACCATGTGTTTGTCTTAAGTTGTTCTGAGGATTAAATTAGATGCAGTTTGTGAAAGTTCATACTATTGGGCATTTAATAAAGGCAGTTTCCCTTCCTTCTTTCTCTTCTGCTTTTAAAAATGAAGATTTGAGTGCACTATAAATAAAGCAAATCATAAAGTGTATTTCAGGGTGGAATTCAGGCCAGTCAAAGGAGAAAGGCCGGAGAACGCATGTGGAAAGAAGCCGGAAGTGGGCATGTTCACCAGCTGTGCACATCCAGCAGGCTTTGGAAGGTGTAGCTTCACAAGCCAAATAAAAAGTGTCCTTGACTTGAAAAAAAAACATCATCAGAGACTGTTAGCCAAATATTTCAGGCTCTGTCTGAAGACTGGAAGCCCAGGAATTTTGGAAATACTACCCTTTCTTCATGTTCAGTGGTAGAAACCTCAAACTTCCTGCTGTGGAAAGTGGGGGTGGCCACTGTGTTTTTTGTGAGTTTTTTTTGGTCACGAGCAGGGTTATTTCTTTCCCTGGGTGGTTGCTGCCATCTGACGTCTCTAAGTGGCACTGTGGATTTGCTTGCAGCTCAGCGACGCTAAACAGCGGGTTATGGGCATCCTTGGGGGCTCAGTGACAGGAAGCCTGCCGACCAGTAGAGGAGGCTTGGGTTCCATCCCTGGGCTGGGAAGACCCCCTGGAGAAGGGAGTGGCAACCCACTCTAGTATTCTTGCCTAGGAAATCCCGTGGACAGAGGAGCCTGATAGACTACTGTCCATGGGATCACACAGATTCCAACACAGCCAAATGACTAACTCTGTGTGTGTGTGTGTGTGTGCACACGTGTGTGCGTGCACCTGAGTGCTCAGTCACTCCATCATGTCTGACTCTGCAACCCATGGACTGTAGCCTGCCAGAATCCTTTGTCCATGGGATTCTTCAGGCAAGTATACTGGAGTGGGTTGCCATTCACTTCTCCAGGGGAGCTTCCCCATCCAGGGATCCAACCTGTGTCTCTTGCATTGGCAGGCAGGTTCTTTACCACTAGCGTCACCTGGGAAGTGCTTAAAGTGAGAGTTAGAGGTTCTTGTTTCTGGCTTGATGCATGAAGATGACAGTAGGTGACTGAGTGGACCCTTTTTTTTTTTTTTTTTTTAATAGTGGTGAAGAATTTACTGTTTATGTTTTTCTTCCTTTTGATGACATGCATAGCAAAGCTTTCCAATAGAGTGTTACTGAATATAAAGTCACTAGATACCTAGAGAAGAATTCTGTAGGGTGGTCTGATTTTGACCTTTTTCTTACCTCTTCTTTGCTTTCTAGGGAATTCATGATGGAGATACAATACTCCCTGATTCTAGCCTGTGAAGCTCTGAGTAAAAGATTTATAAAAATGTGCCAAACCCTTCTCTTCCATATTTGCAACTGTATTATTAGCAGACAGGCTGTGGAGCCTGGGTGGGATTTCCCAAGAGCAACCTTGTTGACTATTTTGATTCTCAGAGGCCCTGGAAGATTGACTTCCTCTTTTCTGGAATGGTGTGGGCACCTGAAGGTCAAGGGGTTCCCCCTCAATCACCCCCGCCCTGGGGCTTATAGAGTGCCAGGTGGTTAGAACCCACCTCTCAGGCATTAGGATTTTGACCAAAGGAGCGTCACACCAAGCGTCTGGTCTTGTCATCTTTCTAGCTCTTCCCCCATAAAATGCAGAGGACAGGGCTGCCCAGAGCTTTGGTTTCTGGGGTATGATATGCGGAGGGTGCGCTGACACCTCTGAGCAGGCAGAAATGATATGTATGGTTTGTGGAGCAGCTCCTGCCCATCATGGGGTGACCGTGCAGAGGCCTGGAGTCGTCTTCCTTGGGTCCATGTCAGGCCTGTGGTCCTGCATTTCTATCAGCCCTGAATTCACAAGCGGCCCGAGCTGTAGGAGGCAGTGTACAGGCCACTGGGAGGCAGTGAGGAGATCTGGGTTTGGAGTCAGGACACCCGATCCCATTTATCTGACACCAACAACCTTTATCGCCATGAATAAGTCTCTTAAGCTCCCAGGGTTAGTTTCCTTGCATGTAAAACAAGGAGAGTTACCGTGGCTCATTTCTGTGCCTGTCTGCAGCTTTGAAGCCAGCTCCGTGCAGGATTCTGTATCTGACAGACACCCTCCTCTTCTAACGCAGTAGTTGTTCAGTCGCTAAGTCCTGTCTGACTCTGCAGCCCCTGGACTGTAGCCCACCAGGCCCCTCTGTCCATGGGGATTCTCCAGGCAAGAGTGCTGGAGTCGGGTGCCATTTCCTTCTCCAGGGAATCTTTCCAGATCAGGGATCAAACCCGTGTCTCCTGCGTTGGCAGGTGGATTTTTTGCTGCTAGCCACTCGGGGAGGCCCCTGCCCTGGCTTTGCGCTATCTTAATAGGATCCTGACCTGGAAGGTGATCCTTGGTGTGCATGCTGAGGTGCCGCTAAGATGCTCGCTGTGGGCAGAGAAGTTTCAATAACACAACCCAAGGGTACAGCCATCAGGCACAATGATAAGGGATTTGTTAAATTAGCAGTGATGCAGCAGCCTAAGAAAACACAGCCGTGTCTCCCAGAAGAGTTTCTGTAGAATAACATTTAATGATACAGTACAGCCGACACAGGGTAAGTGAAAATTCCCTGTTTACCAAGCCATGATGCTGTTTTTTTAGAAATGCAAGTATGTAAACCGTTGTGTAGAAGAAAGCCTGGAACACTGTCCAGGAAACGGGTATTTCTCTGGGAAGTCTCTTCTTGGGTGATTTGTTTTTCTGCCTATCAGGATGTTCTCAGTGTCCTCCTCATAACAGGTGTTTAGCTTTTGTAGAAAGAAAGCCGTTGTAAAAATTACTTTAAAATAAGTCATCGTTTTTCATGGACACTCATGGGCTCTGGCTGTGTGGGGGGCATCTTCCTGATTCCCCAGATACCAGATAAAGGACCCTGTGCCTCCTGTCTCCCCAGGATTGGCAACAGCATGGCCAGTGTCCTGTCCCGGCGCCTCGGCAAGCGGTCCCTTCTGGGAGCCCGGGTGTTGGGACCACCTGGGGCTGCCCCACCCTCGGAGCCTCAGGCAGAGCTGCTGGAGGGGGCAGCTCCCCAGCCCTTTGTTGCCTCCAAGGATGCGTCCTGTCAGGAGCAGCCTAAGGAAGTCCTCAAGGCTCCGGGCACCTCGGGCCTCCAGCAGGTGGCCTTTCACCCCGGGCAGAAGGTAGGTTGATCCTCAGGTACACAAGTGTCCGCCGTCCCCATGCTGGGGTTCAGCAGCCCAGTGGTGTGCCAAATGACAGGCTAGAAGCTCTCTGGGCACTGACTTGAGTGCAGACCTTTTCCCTGCAACCATCTGAGCCCTTGGGCAGCAGGCTTCCCAAGAGAATGAGCCATTCTTAGCAGATCCAGGGCTCCTGCGTGACAGTTCTGGGCTCAAGCCTGCTCAGAACCTCAGTGCAAAGCATGGCCAGAGCCCAGTTTCTCTTAATCTGCCCCAGTTTACAACTTTACAAAAATAAGGGGGAGGGGCTCAGATTTATGAGAAAAAATTGCATCCCACAGTCATGTATGGATGTGAGAGTTGGACCATAAAGAAGGCTGAGCGCCGAAGAATTGAAAAGAATTCAAAATTGTGTTGGAGAAGACTCTTGAGAGTCCCTTGAACTGCAAGGAGATTGAATCAGTCAATCCTAAAGGAATTCAACCCTGAATACTCATTGGAAGGACTGATGCTGAAGCTGAATTTCTAATACTTGGGCCATCTGATGCGAAGAGCCAACTCACTGGAAAAGACCCCGATGTTGGGAAAGACAGAGGGCAGGAGGAGAAAGGGACGACAGAGGATGAGACGGTTGGATGGCATCACCAACTCAATGGACATGAGTTTGAGCAAGCTCTGGGAGATGGTGAAGGGCAGGGACGTCCATGGGGTTGTGAAGAGTTGGATACAATATAGCAACTGAACAACAACAACAAAGATTGCCGCATTGAATTACCTTGAGATGTTTCAAGAGACAAAGGTGTCTGTTTAGTTGGAATGCCATTTGGATTCTCTTTTCCAGTGTCTGCTCCTCTGTGTTATCACTAGATCTTTTTGGCCTCATGTCATCGCTAGTGGGCTTCTCTTTCATTGCCTTCCGAAGAGCTGATAATAGAGGCTCTGCCTTCTGCCTCTATTTTAAGACTTGTGTGGTCTAGGCCTCTTTTCCCACGGGGTGGGGGACCTGCCAACTGCTAGGCACCTCTGAAAGCAGTCAGTCTGCATTTTCATCAGTACCTTCTTGCTTCCAGGTAGACTCAGGATTTTCTGAAGGGGAAAATGCAGGGTGTGAGCAATTCAAGGCAATAGTTGGGAACCAGCAGATACCTAGGACTTTAGAGGCCAGTCAGGTTAAGAACTCAAGAGGATGGATACAGTTTCCAAATTCATTTGATTTGAAAATTTAATCCATTTACATTTAAAGTAATTAGTGATAGGTAAGGACTTGGTATTGCTATCTTGTTAATTTTTTTCCTGTTTTGTAATTCCTTTGTTCCTTTCTTCTTCTCTTGCTGTCTTCCTTTTTGAATATTTTTTGGTAGTCCTGTGCTTTGATTTCTTTATCTTTTGTATGTCTACAAGAGTTTTTTCTTTGTGGTTACCATGAAGCTTACAGAAAACATAAGTGTATTTTAAGATGATAGCAACTTTAGTTGTATATAGACTCCACTTTTAAAAAAAGAAGTTTCAGAAATTGTTACTTTTGCGCTCTCCATCTAAAGAATTTATAAAGATTTGTTTCAGTAAGAACTGATCCACTTTGGCTGGTCTGGATGTTCAGGTAGGAAGCAAATACCCAGGAGCATATGTGTGAACTAAAGATGAGTCAGAGAATGCAGCTTGTGGCAGATAGCTCCTGGGTCCCAGAACCTAGAACACATGGAATGAGAACTCCCAAGTGCTGACCACTGGTTGCTGTCTTTCTCTCTCCAGGTTTGTGTGTGGTACGGGGGTCAAGAGTGCACAGGACTGGTGGAGCGGCATAGCTGGGCAGAGGATAAGGTGACTGTCTGGCTGTTGGACCAGAAGTTACAGATCTGCTGCAAAGCGGAGGAGGTGTGGCTGGCCGAGCCGCCGGGCCGCATCCCCCAGGTGCCGCCTCCAGAGCAGGGAACCCAGGCGCCAGCCTACAGGCCTGTGTCCAGGAACATTGATGTCCCAAAGAGGTTTGTGTGGGAGAACCTTGGCTCTGAAAGATATGTGGGTGTTGAGGTAGGGGCTTTGGGATGCCTTGTGTTGGGGAAGGAATGTAGTGCTCCACATGTCTGTCTACTGGTGAAGATACCAGTCAGATGAGATACAGTGAGAGGGCATCCTTTTGGAAAAACACCTAGAAGGGCACCTTTTCTTCCCCATAACTCTGTCTGTTATTGTTGTTTTAGTCGCTCAGTCCTGTCTGACTATTTTGCGATTCCATGGACTGTAGCCCACCAGGCTCCTCTGTCCATGGGATTCTCTGGGCAAGAATACTGGAGTGGGTTGCAAGTTCCCTTTGGATCTTCCCAACCCAGGGATCGAACCTGAGTCTCCTGCATTAGCAGGTAGATTCTCTACCACTGAGCCACCAGGGAAGCCCTGGTAACTCTGTTAAGGGTGATATATATAACTTCATCTGGCTGAGGGCTATTTTTTTCCCTTTCCTGCTTAAACTAAAATTAGTTCTTAGTTTTTCACGATGAGAGAGCAAAAAGTGGCTTAGATCAGGAGGCAGCAAACATATCCAGAATGGGCCAGATAGTAAATATTATGTAGGCTTTGTGGGACACAGGGTCTCTGTCACAGCTACTCTGCTTGGCTGTGAACTTGAGAAATCAGCTGCAGACAGAACTTAAACAGTCGAGCATGTTGGGCTCCAATAAAACTTCACTTGTGGACACTAAGTTTTCAATTTCATGTGATTTCCATGTGTCATATGTCAAGAAATAATATCCTCCTTTTGATTTGTAAAACCACTTAAAAATTGTTAAGCCAGGGACTTCCCTGGTGGTTCAGTGGTTCAGAACCGACCTGACAATGCAAGGAACACAGGTTCGATCCCTGGTCTGAGAGGATGCCACAGTAAAGCCTGGGAGCTAGAGCTGCTGAGCCCGAGTGCCCTGGGGCCCTCGCTCTGTAACCAGAGAAGTCACCGCAGTGAGAAGCCTGCACCCTGCAAACCGGAGAGTAGCCCTGAGCTTGCTGTAACTTAGAGAAAGCCCACACACAGCGAGGAAGGTCCAGCACAGCCAGAAACAGATACATAAGTAAACTTTTTAAAAGTTATGTCATTCTTAACTTTCAAACCAGGCAAAAACAGACAGTAGTCTCAGTCAAGAGATTACGGAGCCCCGGCTAGATATTTCAAACCATTGATTTTGAATGAAAAATGTTTACTTTGCTTCTTTGCTAGAAGTTTTAAAAAATTGTTTTAATTTTTTTGTCCCACTGCACAGTATGTGGGATCTTAGTTCCCCAATCAGGGACCCTGTCCCCTGCACTGGAAGTGTGGAGTCTTAACCACTGGACTGTTAGGAAAGTCCCTGTTTCAGAATTTTATGACATGAATTTTTCCTCTGAGAATACAAACTGTATTGTGTTAGTTGCTCAGTCATGTACAACTCTGTGACCCCTTGGACTGTAGCCCACCAGGCTCCTCTGTCCATGGGGATTCTCCAGGCCAGAATACTAGGGTAGGTAGCCATTCCCTTTTCCAGCAAATCTTCCCAACCCAGGGATTGAACCTGTGTTTCCTACACTGCAGACAGATTCTTTACTGTCTGAGCCCCCAGGGAAGCTCTATATTATATACTCAATGCACATTGATCTTTTAAGATTAAAAAAGAAAATCTGCTAGTGAGATTCTTCTGTGCTGTGCTATGCCTGGTCATTCAGTTGTGTCTGACTCTGTGACTCCGTGGAGTGTAGCCTGCCAAACTCCTTTGTCCATGGGATTCTCCAGGCAAGAATACTGGAGTGGCTTGCCATGCCCTCCTCCAGGGGATCTTCCCAACCCAGGGGTCGAACCCAGGTCTCCCATATTACAGGGGGATTCTTTAGCATCTGAGCTACCAGGGAAGCCCTAGAATTCTGAAGTGGGTAGAGAATTCCTTCTCCAGGGGATCTTCCTGACCCAGGAATCGGACTGAGGTTTCCTGCATTGCAGGCGGATTCTTTACCAGCTGAGCTACTAGGGAAGCCCTGAGATTCTTCAATACAGATGTGTAAGCAGCTGAACTCCCCGCCCCCACAATCTGTGTGTGTCTGTGCACGTTACTGTTATTGACAGTACATTCTGTGTCTTGAGACCAGACCAGAGCAATAAATAACATTTGTGATTGTGAATTCAGTGGAACACTGGCAAAGAATTTATCTTTCATTCTGTAGAAATAAAAATACAAAAAATCATTCAAAAAGGGGGCTGCTGACATGTCTAATACATTACTAGTCTCGGTTTAGCTGCTTCATGTCGTATAGTTTAGTGGATCTGAATTGTAAAGAATAAATTGTATAATACAGTCCTTTGAAATAGAAGTGCCTCCTGGAAATTTATTTCAGACTGACTTTTCATACTTTAGCATTACCTTGTTGGTGGCTTTCATTTTGTTTTCAAATAGTGTAACTTTATATGGATTAAGAAAATTGTGTGTAAGATGTCATAGATCTCTGCTGTATAAAGCATTGAGATTTGTTGGGAGATTTATTTTAGTATTTCTGGAGATTGTTTGCTCATTGGCTTATGTGGCCAGATTCTGTTGACATTCAGAAGCTATCATATCTCATCACTAATATTGAGGGGTGGGGAAGGGAGCTTGTGAGTGGAATTGTTCTCCCTTAAATCTAAATATAGAGACTTCCTGGTGGTCCAGTGGCTAGGACTCTGTGTTCCTCATTCAGGGGGCCTGAGTTTGATCCCTGGTCAGGGAACTAGATCCCGAGTGCTGCAGCTAAGGTTGAAGATACTGTGTGCTGCAGCTAAGATTCAGCACAGTCACATACATTAAATAAGCAAATAAATACTTAAAAGTTTAAATATAAAGCTAGAAAAGGAAAGTAATTGTAGTGCTTTTGAATTCTAGCCAGGTGTCTTTTATGCCCTTGCTTTATTTCATTGCTTGGGCATGTCATCCTTTCCCTCAAATAAAATTCCTGGTTTTAAACTGTAGGGTGAGAGTTAGAAAGTGAATTCCATGGAGAATGGAGCTGCCTCTGGGTGTCAGCAGTGGGATGGGGCCCGGCCTGCTTTCCCTGGGGTTGACTGGTATTATCAATGACACTCAGAACTGAGTACTTTTCGTGAAGAAGGAGGAGAGATCTGAATGCTTTATTTAACTCCATTACTTGAGCACACACTGACTGATCGGAGTAGGGGCCTAGAAGGGACATTCCAGGAATGTAAGATGCTCACATGACCTGCTGTGTCGGGAAGTAACCTCTGACTCTCACCCATCTGAATCCAGGAAGTCGGATGCAGTGGAAATGGACGAGATGATGGCGGCCATGGTGCTCACGTCGCTGTCCTGCAGCCCGGTCGTACAGAGTCCTCCCGGGGGCGAGGCCAACTTTTCTGGTGAGGAGCAGGGCCAGATGGGTTCTGGGCGCGGCCGAGGCTTCCATTCTTTCTCCTCAGTTTCCTCCTCTGGGGAGAAGTTTCCTGCTGCATTGTGACGATGGTTGAGCGCGAGACTGACCCTCACTGGCCACCTGAGTAAGTTCTTCCATGGGAGTAAGCGAGCAAGGCACTCAGGCTGGACGAGGTCAGCAGAGGAACGTTTAGTTGTAAATGATCCCCCCGTGGCCTCGGCCGACTCTCGGCCCCCTTCCAGGTGCCTCATTCAGCCTCGAAAATTAGTGTGGAAGAAACGATCTAAAGTTTGAAATAAATCTAATTGCTTAGTGCAAACCAATAGAAAGACTTCATAACAAATGTATACATTAAAAGAAAATGCTAGCACAACCCCCCAAATACATTATGAGTGATATGGGAGGAAGGTGGGTTGCTGGATATTAGTAGTTTGACAAGATTTATAGTGAATCTGAACTTTTTTTTTTTTGCAATTTGTCATCTGGCTGGCCTAACTTACTCCCAGGGAATAACTTTTTCGTTGGTGAGATCTAACTGTATCGTGAGCTTCCTAAAAGCTTACAGGAAAATAATGGAGTCAGTTTTGACCATATCAGGTGGAAAGTGGCCTTTACAAAGCATCCCTCATAAGTAATCTCCCCACTTAGAAAATAAATTTAAGGAAGTGATAAGATTTACTTATTTCACCCAAGGCTTGTCATCAATGGCTAGACTGCTACAAGAAGCTGTTGCAGTCTGATGGTGCCAGTTGAGGGGCAGAGCATCACACGCCTGTTCCGTGAACACCTGGGGCCCACACCAGCAACACAGGAGGAGAGGAGTCAATTAAAAAATTTTCATTTATTTGGTCGTACTGAGTTTTAGCTGTGGCATGGGAACTCTTGGTTCTGGCATGAGGAATCTAGTTCCCTGACCAGAAATTGAATCTCAGCCCCTTGCATTGGGAACTCAGAGTCTTAGCTACTAGACCTCCAGGGAAGTCCCACAGAGTCAGTTTTAAGTTCTCAGGAAACTCTACAAGTTTAGGAGATTGAGGAGGTTGGTCAACAGGAAGAAGATCCAGAAAAATATCATAAAGGGAAAGAAAATCATTGACTGAAATTCCCCTCAGGTTGTATGTGTGTGTGTGTGTTTGTATAATCCATTCATATATGTTCACACACACACCCCAACGCTAGCATATACTCATCTAACTGATAAGATGCTGTGACATCTTAAGTTCCCTTTGATAAACATTTTTTTATTGTCTGTTAAAGGTTTTTCCCATAACAACATATTTCTGATCTTCCACTGAAGTAAGTGGGAAGATAAGGCCCCCTTGGCAGCTAATTATGTTGACATAGTCTGGAAGGTGAGGTCTCCACAATAACCAGAACCTTGCTCTGATCATGGTTGCTTTTTGCAGAATCCACTCATTCCTCTTGGTATTGTTAGGATGATTCTGCCTGTGCCTGTGGAGAGCCAAGGGCATTACAAGGATTTCTTAGAAGTTCATGGTGCATTGGCCAGGGAACACTTTTGTTTTCCTGGTACAGAATCTCTGTTGATCCTGCCCTAAAAAATTGTATGATCTAAGGTGGAGTGATTTATGTTTCTCTTATAAGATATATGCGGCTTCCGTAGTGGCTGCAATGCAGGAGACCTGAGTTCGACCCCTGGGTCAAGAAAGGGCAACCCACTCCAGTGTTCTTGGCCTGGAGAAGCCCATGGACAGGAGCCTGGTGGGCTACAGTCCATGGGGTTGCAAAGAGTCGGAGGTGACTGAGCGACTGACATTTTGTTTCGCTTATAAGATACAGGTTAATTTATGAGTTTCACTTTTTAGCTTTGTCTTCTGTTTGTCCTTATGTGCCATTTGCCTGTGTTGGCACTGAGCCGCTTGAGTGATTCCCCCGGAAGACTGCTGCGTTGTGGGGCAGGCCTGCTGTTTGGCCTGTTCCCTTCTGTTCTGCCGCGAGATGTAGCATTCCTCCCCTTCGCCCATCTCCCCCTGATGCATGTCCTTGGTGGACCTGTGAGCATCCTTGGCGGCTCCTGCTTTCTTTCCTGAAGGGCTGCCCTGTTTTTAGCCTCATGTGTAGATGTCATAAACTCTCAATTTCCAGGAGGTCATAGCTTCGAGACTGGACAGTGATGCTCTGAGAGGGCAGAGTGCATTTGGCCCATTCTGTTTGGACAGGCTTCTCCTAGCGTCTGAGACTTAAGTAAGGAGAGCCTGCATTGGAAGCATGGAATGCTGGGTGTCTAGGTTAGCCTGAAGGTGGTTTGGGATATGGAGTAGGAAGCGAGGAAAGCAGTGGGATGCTTGTCCTGGCCACAGGGGATGTGGCAGGCGGTCTCAGAATGCAGGGTCAGCAGGCCTTGTGGACCACTGCCCATGTGGGAGTTGGGGCTTGGGTCAAGGCCACCATATCTGAGTGCATCACAGGTTTCTCCCCTTTTCTTGCTATTTCTGTGTGTCAAAATTTCAGGTTCTCCTCTAGTATCAGTTGGGCATCTCTGTTGGTTCAGTGATAAAGAATCCACCTGCCAATGCCCACTAGCCAATGCAGGAGATGCAGGTTTGATACCTGGGTCAGGAAGATCCCCTGGAGTAGGAAGTGGCAATCCACTCCAGTATTCATGCCTGGAAAATCCCACGGACAGAGAAGCCTGGCGGGCTATAGTCCACGGGGTCGAGAAGAGTCAGAAACGACTTAGCGACTGAACAGCAACAACAAAATGGTGTAAGTTAGCACATTATTGACCAGAGAATTTTTGCAGAACCTAATGCCTGTGGTCATGTATGGATGTGAGAGTTGGGCTATAAAGAAAGCTGAGCACTGAAGAATTGATGCTTATGAACTGTGGTGTTGGAGAAGACTCTTGAGAGTCCCTTGGACTGCAAAGAGATCCAACCAGTCCATCCTAAAGGAGATCAGTCCTGGGTGTTCATTGGAAGGACTGACGCTGAAGCTGAAACTCCAATACTTTGGTCATCTGATGCAAAGAGCTGACTCATTTGAAGAGACCCTGATGCTGGGAAAGATTGAGGGCAGGAGGAGAAGGGGACAACAGAGGATGAGATGGTTGGATGGCATCACCGACTCGATGGACATGGGTTTGGGTGGACTCTGGGAGTTGGTGATGGACAGGGAGGCCTGGTGTGCTGGAGTTCATGGGGTCGCAAAGAGTCGGACACGACTGAGCGACTGAACTGAACTGAACTGAATGCCTGTGACTGCCGATTTGTTATATCAGTGAATACTGAATCAGTAATATTCAGTAATAATCAGTAATATTCAGATAACAAAAGACATATTAATGGGTCTCTGGTCAATAAGTTGTCAATACAGGTTTATGGCCTAGGCATGGAAGAATCTGGGTTGGGTTTAAAGCAACCCAAAGGGAGGCAGTTTAAAAACTGAAAATTAAAATAAATAAATAAAATAAAAACTGAAAATTTCACACGTCTGACTGTGATCTTCCTGTTCAGACGCATTGCTGGGAGCAGGGCAGCGAGTTCAGGCCCTGTTGGGCATGCAGGCCTCCTGTCATCTTGTGATGAGTCTGAACTGTTCTCGGAGCTTGTCTTTCCTGCTCTAAACATGTTCCCTGTGGATAAAAGCAGGAGCCAGCTCTGGTTAAGGGTTCACCTCCCAACGGCTATGAGAGCTGGCTGAATGGTTGCTTTTCTCATGCAGGTTTTGATGTACTTGCCTGGGTTTAAATGATCAAAAGGCATCTTTTAAGAAAGCCTGGTTACGAAGCCCTTCTCCTGGCCTCTGCATCCTACTCCACTGCCGGGAAAACTTCCCAAGTGGTACCCAGCCCGTTTGTCTGTGCGTGGGGGCGGGGTGGGGGCAGGAGAGGCTTTCCTCTCCCCTCTCTCTGCTCCCCCCGTGCCTTTAAAGTGAGAAGTACCTTTTGATTAGCTTATCGTTCCTTTAATAACACAGGTCTCCCCTGCTATCTGAAAGTAGAGCATTTCTGTGAAAACTTTGGAAACCTGAAATGGTATCAGGCAAAAAAACAATTACCTTAGGACGCCTCTTGCTAACGGACGCGCAAAATATGTTGTGATACAGCACAGATACTCGCAGGTTCAGTTCAAATCTTTGGGGGCTGGGTGCTGAGATGCTGAGTGTGGTTCCTAGGAAGGGGCTTGGTGGGGCCACTCTCACTGTTTGGGGTGCCCTGCCTCCATAACAGCTTGCTGCAGAACCAGCATTGAATCCTGTTGTCACCTTTTTTCATAAAGTGAAAGTCCTCTTTAGATTTCTTTCAGTTAGTGAAAACGGGTCCTGATGTCAGGTTGTCACTCGGTATTCATGGGAGATTGGTTCTAGGACCGAGGGGACACCCATATCCATGGATGCTCAAGTCCCTTGTGTAAAACAGCATTGTACTTGCATGTAAGCTATGCACATCCTCCTGCATATTGTCAGTCATCTCTAGGTTACTTAGAACACCTAACACAACGTAAACGCTGTGTACAACGTTGTAAGTAGTTGGAAAGACATTGTAAATGCCTTTTAAACGTTGCTGTTTAAATGTTTAGTTGCTGTGTGGCCAATTCAAGTGTTGCTGTGGGGATCTTTCTGGAATTCTTTTTCCTAAATATTTTCAGTGCAGAAACGGGATTTGGAGGGCTGACTACCAGGTCTTGGCATATGAAAGAAAAGGTATAAATTGAACTTCCAAAAACTGGGGGACACCTGCACACAAAATGTAGCTCCAGAGCGTGTCTGGCGGTCAGTGATGATCAGCACAGCTGTGGCAGGAAGGGTCCGTGAGAACACAGCAGTCTGCCACCCACAGACGGTGCTGCAGTGAGGGGAGCCGTTCCTCATTTTTACTGAAGCCCAGAAAGGGGAGGGGTTTGTTAGGGAAAGGGCACTTCATTGGTTTTTGTTTTTCCCCCTTGGAGCACAGAGCCAGGCAAGTAGAACCCGGCATTAGACTCAGGAACCCAGCCTTTTTAAGAAAATAATTTTTATTTATTTATCTGGTTTTGGCTGTGCTGGGTCTTTGTTGCTGCTCAGGCTTTTCTCTAGTTGTAGCAGCTGGGGGCCACTCTGCAGTGAGCCAGCTTCTCCTGTTGCAGGGCACAGGCTCCAGGGTGCTCGGGCCTCAGTCATTACAGCTCCCAGGCTCTAGAGCACAGGCCTGTGGGGTCTTCCCGGACCAGGCATCAGACCCGTGTCTCCTGCATTGGCAGGTGGATTCTTTACCACTGAGCCACCAGGGAAGCCCAGGAGCCCAGACCCTGAACTAGAGTGTCCTGCCCCCGACCTGGGCGGTCCGCGCGGCACCTGGCGTGGGCAGAAGCGCAGGCGCAGAGCATCCTCTGTCTCCTCCTGTCCAGCCTCCCGCACGGCCTGCGACCCCTGGAAGGAGAGCGGCGACGTGTCGGACAGCGGCAGCAGCACCACCAGTGGGCACTGGAGCGGGAGCAGCGGCGTCTCCACCCCCTCGCCCCCCCACCCCCAGGCCAGCCCCAAGTACCTGGGGGACGCCTTTGGCTCTCCCCAGACGGATCACGGATTTGAGACCGACCCGGACGCTTTCCTGTTGGATGAACCAGCTCCCCGAAAAAGAAAGGTGCGTGGGCTGAGCTTCCAAGCTCAGCCACAGAGGGGCCAGACCTGGGTCCCGGGCCTTCTCAGGCTCCATCCTATTTCAGTGATCCATTTTTTAAAAGTTAATTAATTAGGCTGCACCAGATCGTGGTTGTAGCATGTGGGATCTAGTTCTCCAACCAGGGACCGAACCCCGGCCCCCTCTGCATTGGGAGCTCAGAGTCCCAGGTCCTGGGCCATCGTTTCAGCTCTCCTTTGCTGCTGCTCTTTCCTCTTGATATTCCCAGAAGCCCACCCCTCCTCTCCAGTGCCACATCACTGGCCTTCTCTCCTCTGCCCAACCCAGCTCTCCTGCAGAGACCTCCATCAGGTCTTCCCCTGCCCCCCAGCCCACCCCCATCTCCACTCTAGACCGATGCCAGCCCCCAGGACCAGCTCTCTGCCCCTGTTTGTCAGTCTCTCTGGTCTCTGGGAACCCCTTTACTCAATTGAGCCTTCTGCTGAGTCCTGTTGGATGTGACTGGGACCCCACTGGGTGTGGCTGGGAGGGGCTGAGTGGGGGGACGTGGCCTCCTCATCCCGTGTTCCCTTCCTTCCAGAACTCGGTGAAGGTGATGTACAAGTGCCTGTGGCCCAGCTGTGGCAAAGTCCTGCGCTCCATTGTGGGCATCAAACGACACGTGAAAGCCCTCCACCTAGGGTACGTGCGCGCGCAGAGCTCCTCTGCCTAAGGCGTTCTGCAGACGTCCTTCACCCGCTGATTCCCCGAGACCCACACCCCCAAATACTTCTGAGAAACTGGCTGGCTGAGGGCCCCACCCATCCCTGATCCTGGGCCCCGTGAACAGCCCCTTTGCTGGGATCTTTGCTGGGAAGCAGGCCCTCCTGCGGTGGTGGATGTGGATGCTGTTGATGGGTATGTCTTCTCACCCCGGAAGGAAGATGGTTCAGTTCTGGGCAGATAGAGGGTGGTTAGTTACTTAGCGCCTGTTGCTTCCCTTTGGGGAGCCGGGGCTCCCCTTGCACTGATACCCGAAGCCGGGGCTGCAGGTGGCCAAGGGGACCGACTCACAGTCCTTCCCCTGCCGGAGAGTGTAGCCTTGAGTGCGTGGGGTCCAGAGAGGACCAGAGCAAAGTGTGAAGCAGATCTGGCCAGAGGAGAAGCCTCCGGGGCTAGGGAAAATAATCCCCCTTGACGTGCCAGGGTGCAATCCCCGGGAGTCTGTGTCAGGACCTGGGCTCCCGCCTGTCCTCCTGGGCTTCTCCTGTGACTTGCCGCTGTCCCCTGCGTTTGGACCAGGGCAGCTTGTCCCTGGTTGTCACCGCATCTCCGTCCCCTGCAGGGACACCGTGGACTCCGACCAGTTCAAGCGGGAGGAGGATTTCTACTACACAGAGGTGCAGATGAAGGGGGAAGCTGCTGCGGCTGGCGGCCCCACAGCCGACCCGGCTCCGACCCCCAGTGTGACCAGCCCGCCCCTCACCATCCTGCCCCCACCGCCTCCTCCCAAAGCCCAGTCCTCAGGCCCAGATCACCCTGGCCTGGAGTCTTACCTGCCCTCCGGTGCTCTCAGCAAGTCAGCTCCTGGCTCCTTCTGGCACATTCAGGCCGACCATGCATACCAGGTATGGGGAACCCCCTGGGAGCTCAGCCTCGGGACCATGAGGGCATTCCGTGTCTGTCACTGGTCAGCCTGATCACAGGCCACTGACCGCCCTGATCGGAGGCTGAGTCCTCAGCTGAATTACCCATCTCTTATTTCTATAAGGAAAGTGACTTCACACTCAGTAAACATAGGAATTCCAGGGTTGTACCTCGGTGACTGTCATGAGTGGTTACTGAATCTGGCTGAATCCAGTGGTTAAGAAATCTAGCTGAATCCCTGAGTAACCAGGTTGATGGATTTGGACGGGGGACTTGGTCCACCACTGGTTATAAGAGGGGATAGACTAGTGTAGTAGGGTTTCTGAGAGCAAATCTCCAATTCCCAGAATGGTACTACATTAAATAGTCTGGCACTTAGTTTTTTGAATACCTACTATGTGTCAAACTGCAGGATAAGCTTTGCAGATAGAATAAGATACATAATTCTTGAGCTTGTGAAGTGTACAGTTTAGCTGGAGAGAGAACTGAATGTGTGACTATGATTAATTATAATAAGTAGTTAAAATATCTTACTGGAGATACAAGCCATCTTTGTGGGCACAGGAAGGACCAGGCTTCCCTGGTGGCTCAGTGGTAAAGAATCCACCTGCCACTGCAGGCGGTTTGGGCTCAGTCCCTGGGCTGGGAAGATCCTCTGGAGAAGGAAGTGGCAACCGGCTCCAGTATTCTTACCTGGGAAATCCCATGGGCAGAGGAGCCTGGCAGGGTACAGTTCACGAGTCGGACACCAGTTAGTGACTAAACAACAATAGCCGTAAAGACCAAGGTAGTAGTATGCCCATTGGGTTGGGAAAGCAGTCATGAAGCGGGTGGCATTTAGGGTGGTTTTTACTGCATGTCGTAGGTGCCGAAGACTTTGCTTGCCATGTGCAAGTTTTTCTTAAAATCCTTTGATGCCTACTGCTTGGTTTTTTCCGACTGTAGGCTGATTTGCAAGTTAGTAATTAAGAAGCAGTGCTTTCCGTCAGAAAGCCTTTAGAGAGCGAGCCAGCTCTCCTCTTCATTAGAACGCGTGGTCATGAGTGGTCGCTCAGCTATTTCAACTCAGGTGGCCCTTCAGGCCACCAGCTGTCCCTGTGACATGAGATCTGGAGAGGGCGGTTGGTGATTTTAGAAACAAACCTTGACTTGGACAGTTGCTGCTTCCACGCGGTTGCCCCAAGGGATGGCAGGCGCTTAGCGTGGGCCCTGTGCCCCCACTTACAAGGCTGGATTTCTGGGGGAGCTATCCTGAGTGTGTTCTTGGTAGGTGATCCCGCCAAGAAGTTAATCTGCGGAGATGATTAAGTCATGAGGCTGGCACATAAACCAGCTCCAAGAGGGAGGGCTCCAGAAAAAGACTGGAGCCCGAGACGAAGGCGACTCCAGAGAGCCGGTGCTCTGCTCTTTCTCTCGGGAGGAGCATTTTGGGGTGTCCCAGCACTTTAGTGTGAGGTGCAGCTGCGGCTGCAGACTGTGAGGGTGCTGGGGTGGGAAGGGGGGCCCCGGCGACACGCTCTGTCTCCACAGGCTCTGCCACCTTTCCAGATCCCGGTCTCCCCGCACATCTACACCAGCATCAGCTGGGCCGCGGCCCCCTCCAGCGCCTCCTCCCTGTCCCCGGTGAGTGCGCCCAGTGGTTCGAGCCCCTCAGCCCTTCCAGGGGCCCCAGAAACAGCCGAAGGCCCAGCCACACACACCCCGTGCTGGAGGCCTTTTCCCCCGAGCTCGCTGCCTCCTGCAGCCCAGCTTCTTGAAGGTCTTCATGCCCTTGCCCACCCCCCCTCACTGAGAGTCATAGGCGCCCATAGAATGTTGGCGGGGCACGCCGGCGAGGAGCACCCAGATCCAGTTTATTGCCAAGATCATGAGGCCAGGTGGGATCAGCACCCTATTTAGCCCTGAGCCCCTAGGGGTGCTTGGTAAGGTTTTGATGCCAAGAGGAGGAGGGAGAGGACATGGGGAGGCTGGAGAGGAAGAGGGAGGGTGAGAAAGGAGAGAGGGGAGTGTGGGGGGCTGTGCAGATGGATCAGAGCTCCCTGGGCCACTGCAGACCAGTGCCTTAGGTTGCTTGTCCCCAAACTGAAATAAATCGGAAGTTATTTTGAATCCCCATGGACAGAAGAGCCTGGCAGGCTACAGTCCATGGCGTCACGAAGAGTTGGACACGACTGAGAGACCCTTAGGGTGTTGCAGACCGAAACGCCTCCTGCAGGAAGGCATCACCACGCACTGTAAAGCCAACGTGCCCGAAGGTGCCGCTGAGGCTGTGCCGTCCCTCTTTCTGCCCCAGTGTGACAGCTTCTTCTAAACCTGCAGATGGCAGCCCGTGAGGGGGCCCGGCTGAGCGGCTCTCCTGCCTGGAGCCCCTTCCCCTGGCTGGAGTGTGCCTCCCAAGGCTGGCTCCTCCCTCTCCGCCTCCACTCCCTCCTTGGTCCCTGCTCACCTCTGGCTGAAATCTTCGAGAGAGAAGGCCTCCTGGCACAGGGTGGGGTGGGGTCCCTTTGCCTTGCACGCCTGCCTTCGTGCTCACAGCCCCTCTGCCCTGTGCCCAGGTCCGGAGCCGGTCGCTAAGCTTCAGCGAGCCCCAGCAGCCGCCCCCTGCCATGAAGTCTCACCTGATCGTCACGTCTCCACCTCGGGCCCAGAGCACCACCAGGTGAGCTTGTCCTCTCTCGAGATCTCCTTGGGGGCTCCTGTCCCCACCCACCCCTCGTCCCCAGGGTTGGTCCCAGGGAGCCGGTGGGGGGACGTCTCAGATGCGAGGGAGGCAGTCGGTCCTCCGGCCCTGGTGGTTCCCCTTGCTGGCTGGTCAGCAGGTGACCATCCCCTCATCGCCCTGGCTTGCAGGAAAGCCCGCGGGGAAGCTAAGAAGTGCCGCAAGGTGTACGGCATCGAGCACCGAGACCAGTGGTGCACCGCCTGCCGCTGGAAGAAGGCCTGCCAGCGCTTCCTAGACTGAACCGCGGCCCCTCCCGGCGGCCTGGGGACACAGGCAGATGGGTCTCAAGCCCAACGCAGAAGCCTAAAAGCTACAGAGTGGACACACGGGGAGTTTGGGCTCTATTGGCTAAGGTTGAATACTCAAAACATTTTCCCCTCCCTCATGGGAATGTTTTAGTTTTTTTAAAAAAAAATAGAAACAAAAAAAATTATTTTTTTTTCTTCCCCTAAAATGAGAGAGAGCCAAAACTGACCAAGGGTATTCTGCAGCAAACCAGAGACCAAAGAAACGACTCTCCCTCCTCTCCTCCACACAGCCCGTCTCCCTAGGGGATTAATGTGTACCGTATGGAAGGAAGGGACAGCTCATCGTGTTTCCTGCTGAGCTGGTGGATTCTTTGCTTTCTCCACTCTTCCAGAAGGGACTGTGAGCTACATGGATTTACTTTTTTTTTTTTTTTTTTAAGAAAAAAAAGAAATTTCTGGCTGATGACTCAGAACAGGACCTGCTGAGGCTGGGGTGGGAAGACGGGGCTGATGTGTGAGCTTTTTGAGGTGCAGCTGGCCCCCTTTCTCCACTCAGATCCAGGAGGAGGGAGAGATTGTCCTCACCCAGCAGCCTCCATCAGAGTTCAAGGAAAGCCCTTTTTCCGGTGCCAGCTGCTCCGATCTGGGGTCCCTCAGGTCAGGTTGCAGCCCAACAGATACAGTATGGCCTCTTCTCCAAGCCCAGACTCATAGGTTTGTAAAAAGACTGGGACCGTCAGGAAGCTGAGCCAAAAGGCTAAAAAGAATTCACGTCGTACAGCGTGGCAGATCAAGACTACCTTGCTCACTCTTTCCTTAACAAGAGACCAGACGGTGTAGTACTCGGCAAGAGTGCTTCGCTGTTCCCCAAGTGAACCCACGCCCACCCCTCCCCACCAGCTCTGGAAGACACCCCCCCAGAAACACTCTGTTTTCACTTAACGGTATATTCAGGAGCCTCTTTCTGATTAAAGACTCCCCCTTTGTTTGGCCGAGAGATCCTGCCCTGAGGTAGGTCCCTCTTCGTCTCATGGGAACCAGGGATTTTCCCATGTTCCTCCACGGCCACAGGGCCGGGCTGGCGAAGAGAACAGACAGAAAGGTAGGTGGCAGCTTCTGCCACGGTGAGAGGGGTGCAGAGCTGTCCCGTGGCTCCACGGGCTCACCTGGCCCTTTGGCGACCGTCTGGTCTTCTTCCTAAGGTGACAGGCAGGACAGGACTTTTCAGGGGGCTTCTGCTTGGTCCAGTCAGTGTGATGGGGAGGGTCAGTTGGATGTGGTGTCATGTTCCCAGACACCTGTTGGGTGTCTTTTCTGCCCGAAGGCAGGATGGGGCAGGTTAGGGAGCCTGAGGAGGTGAGTTCAGTTCGTTTTAGTCGCTCAGTCGTGTCCAACACTTTGCGACCCCATGAACCACAGCACGCCAGGCCTCCCTGTCCATCACCAATTGCCGGAGTCCAAGTTGGGTGTCTTTTCTGCCTGAAGGCGGGATGGGGCAGATTAGGGGGCCTGAGGAGGTCACGTGACGGGAACTGGGGTTGATATCAGCATCTACTGGAGACCTCAGGAATGGAGGGGACCCCAGACTGCGTGACTTGAGAGCTAAATACATGAATCCATTTTTGTTGAGGAGGGAGAAGTAGAGGCAGGGGCTTCTGTGCCTGGGCGAGCAGGGCTGAGCGAAGGCACATTTTTGGCTCAAAGCCTCACCTTTCTGCCGAGCGGGACTGGTTTTGGGGACTCCTCAGGGCCCACGTCCCAAATGTCAGGGGCTCAGGGAACTGTACCACGAGGCCAGCTCTCTGGGGCTTGCACAGCGGTGTCCAGCCCTTGGCTGTGAGCAAGGCTGTCCTTCCCGTCCAGGCGGGCTCACTTGGCTGCAGGAACCCAATAGATGCCTTTCTGTCTGTGACCAGCCGCGTGTTGGAAAGCGCAGACAGGGGAATAGGGGGTGTGATGGTGTGAAGGGTGATGGTGACCTGGGTTTGGTGACAGAAGGGAAAAGCACTCTTACCCATGAGTGTCTTTGGTGGTGATGGGGTATATTTTTATAACTCAGTAAAAAGAAAAAAAAAAAATTATGTATGTGGAATTCTGTCCCTCGGTAAAGCTGGAAATCAGGCCAGCAAGAGGTGCTGGGTTCTTCCTCCCGCTCCTTCAAGCTCCCAGCTTCCCAAATCTGACTCCTTGCTTCCCGCCCTGTGCCCTGCAGGTCCTACCCGTGTGGAGAGGGGGCCTTGGAGACGGGGGTGGGGGGAGCTCTGCCCAGCAGTGTCTCCCCTTTCCTCCTTGCTCAGAGCTTTTGCTGGGTCTCCCCTTTGGAGACACTGTTTTCATTGCCCCCTCAGTTTGGACCATTAGGTACAACTGGATATCAAGGTTTTCTCTAAGTGAGGCGGGCTTCTCGTGTCAACTGCTGCACACGGCAGAAAAGGAAGAGAGAAGAAATTGATGCAACAATTTCAAAACGGAGGTTTTTATGTGTTTTTTTTTTTAATGTTCTGGTGCGGCTTTCCCTGGCGGCCTTTGCTGCAGCCTCCTTCCCGGTGGTGGTGGCCTCGTCCAGCCTCTCTCCTCCCACTGCTCCATCTGTGGCTGTTGTGTGGGTTCTTGACGTGTGGTCTGTCCCGGGGTTGTCCCGTTCGTCTCTTCTCGGAGGGCCGGGGGTGGTTTGTGACCTGATCCCACCATCACGCCTGTTTTCTTCATCTCTGTATTTCTCCCTACTTCCCGGCCCATCCTGGGAGGCAGAATCTGATGGAAGGTAAGAGGCGACAGGTGCGCTTTGGAAACTAACAGGACGGATTGGGAAAGCAAGCGTCTTGGGAAACTCTTTATTCCGGGAATGTTATGTTTATTCACAGTATTTTGGAAGTACCTTTGGAGTCTAGTGCCTGCTTTGAGCAGCCTTAATGATACCGAATCTGCACCCGTGCGCCTTCAGTGCGAAGAGTCCAGTGGATAAGGGTGGTGGTAGTGGTTGAGTCACTGAGTCCCATCTGACTCTTTGCGACCTCATGGTAGCCCCACAGGCTCTTCTTGTTCATGGGATTTCCCAGGCAAGAAGACTGGGGTGACTTGCCATTTCCTGGTGGTCAAATGAGGTCACAGGTGCAGGACACAAAGACCATCGGGTGAGTAAAATGGCTTAGATTGAATAATCTGACTTCTGAGCCGGCTGTGAAAGCAATCGTGTAATTTCAGAACACATTCAGAGCAACATCCACAGTGTTGCAGTTGCCCTGAGGCTAGATTCTTTGAAGAACATAATGGATTTGGATGTGGAAACTCTGACCTGTTGGAAGAAATCTGTCCTGTTACTTTCTGGTCCTCGCAGGTTCTGACTTTACCAGGGGCACAAAAAAAAAAAGAGGGGAGGGAGATAAATCCCATCTGTGAACTTGTCTTTATTGGCGCCTTTTCCCCCAGCTGTCTTCCAAGTATTATTTTTACTGTTAAAAATTTTTTTAAAAATGTGAAATATAATGTTTTTACAGCAACAATATGAAATATATTTTATAAGGAATAAAATGGTACATTGTCTGATTTGCTGTGTGCCTGTCCCTCCACCCTCTCACCCTGCAGAGGATAAGATTATCACCGTCCTTGGTGTTAAGCAAGCAGTGGTCCCGGGGGAGAAGTGTGCACACTCGTTTGCTTATAGTAATAGCAGGCAACATTATCAGGGACCTGGCCAAGTGCTTACATGGATAACCCACGAAGAGATTACTGTTGTCAGTCCCATTTTTATTTTACTTTTAAAATAAAAAAATTATTTTTAAAATTTATCAATTTATTTTCATTTCATCATTCCCATTTTACAGATGAGGAAAGTGAGGCCCAGAGGTTAGAAAACTTGCCCGAAGTCATCATCCGGGAAGTAATGGCACTAGGATTGTAATCTAGGAGATAACCATTTTTTTTTTCTTCCTAATCTCTTAATTTTAATTTTTACAGTTTAATGGTTTATTATAGTGCAAACACCTAAGTACCCACCATTCCTTCAAAAAACAGATCGTGGCCAGCATTCCAGAAACTGCCCTTGTACCTCTGTATTGTGCTTAGTCGCTCAGTCGTGTCCGACTCTGTTCAACCCATGGACTGTTGCCCGCCAGGCTCCTCTGTCCATGGGGATTCTCCAGGCAAGAACACTTGAGTGGGTTCCGATGCCCTCCTTCAGGGGATCTTCCCAACCCAGGGATCAAACCCAGGTCTTCCGAGTTGCAGGCAGATTCTTTACCATCTGAGCCGCCAGGGAAGCCCTCTAGCGAGGCACTATTCCTCTTTTCCTCATAAAAGCAACCACTGTTCTTTGACTTTTTACATCAGTGATTTCCTTGATTTAGGAAAAGAACCATTTTCTCTCTTGCTTGCATTGTTGACAATGGGGAGAATCTCCCGGCTGTGGACCTGAATTTGTTGGGGAGCCGGCGAGCGCCTAAGGAGAGAATGAGCCACTTTCTGCTTGTGCAGTGTGTGCTAGCCCTGGGGAGTAACAAGGGCTGCCCCCCACCCACCCCCAATCCCCGGGTCAACCGGTGGGTTTGGTGTCCTGTGATTGCCCATGTGGCTGGTTCAGAGCTGTGCTGGGTGGAAGGGGAGCTGGCACAGAAAGCTCTATCTCGCCCTGGGAGGGGGTTCTAGGACCTCCTCAGCACCCAGCGGGGAGGTATGAAGCTGCTCTGAGAAGACCTAAGAATTAGATTTCTGCCAAAGTTAGTCCAGCTCAGCAGCCTGTGGGAGACCACCCCGCCCCGCCTTCCCCCACCCCTCCTTTAAAGGGGTTTACTGCCTTTGGGTTGGACATTGTCCATTTGCAGCTCTGCACCCTCCCAGGCCCACCTTTGTGGCTGCACCCGAGGACCCCCTAACTTTCTGGCTCCCAGTTGGGTCTGACCAACCGGAGACGCCAGGCTGGAGTTGGAAGGGAGACAGTTCAATCTCGCCGACGGTACCACCCTGCACAGTGAGTGGCTGTTTCCCTCCTGGCCGCTAGAGGGAGCTACAGTCCTCACTGGTTCCAGTGACCCCTCACCTCACCAGGCGCCCCCTCCCCCGAGTTCCTCAACAGAGCACCTTACCCTCCCTATTGATTTCCCACGGCCCCCTGTCTGTCTATATAGATGTTTGACCCATCTCAGTCACTCCATTTGGGTGGACCAGGGGTTTCTTGGCTGAACTGGTATCATCCATCTTAACATGTTCTAATTTCGACCCCATCCGGAGGGGGGGGGTCCCAAACCAGCAAATGCTGCATCACCTGGAAATTGTTAAAGATGCAACTTTCTAGTGAGTCGGAAACGGAGGGTGGGGCGCAGCAGCCTGGCCCCTCCCGCGTCCCGCCCGCTGGGCCCAATCACACCGCTGTGGGCTTTGGATCTGGGGACCCGGCTCGGTCGGGGTGTTCCTGCTCGACACACTTGACAGAAAACAAAGAGTCGCCTCTGGCTCCGAGGAGAGGCAGCTCTGACGGTGTGTCTGGAGCCTGTGCTCTCAGTTAAAGAAACAGCCAACCCATTTACTAACCATTTGCTCAGTAGAAGTTTAATGGAGAAATATCTGTTTAAAACAATCGGTCAAAAAGAAGAGCTCTTTTACAAACAAGTTACGGCAGTGACGAGTCAAAACCCCAGGCCTGATTTCCTGTTCCTTGAACCCACCACCTCAAAGAGGGAAGAGGTGGGTGAGAAGGAGAGATGCGGCCGTTTAAATGTTAGCTGGAGGAGTTACAAAAATACACTCTGATGTAGCCACAGGGTTGTCATGAAACATGCCATGGGTGGGGAGGGGCCAGGAGGAGTCCGGGAGGGAAAGACAACCAGATGGCGCAGGGCCCTGGGGCGGCGGCCTGGAGCGAAAGCTCGCCTCAGTGCCTTGGGGAGGGAGGCGTCCTGATGCCCAGCCGGCAGGTTTGGGGCTGGAGACATGCTGCTTTGGGGATCGCCCGGACACCTGGGGAGACATAAATTAAAATGACAAATGAATGGCAGATTAAAATGGCAAGTCCGACAGTTTTTCTGACCCTTCAATTCGCTTTTCCCTAGTGCCTGAGAAACAGAAAAGAGGCAAAGAAAAACTATCACTTGGGACTTTCCTGGTGGTCCAGAGGTTAAGATCTCTTGCTGTAAATGCAGGGGTGCTGTGCTGTGTGAAGTCGCTGTCGTGTCTGACTCTTTGCAACCCCATGGACTATAGCCCACCAGGCACCTCTGTCCCTGGGATTCTCCAGGCAAGAAAACTGGAGTGGGTTGCCATGCGCATCTCCAGGGGATCTTTCCAGCCCAGGAATCGAACCCGGGTCTCCCGCATTGCAGGTGGATTCTCTACCGTCTGAGCTACCAGGGAAGCCCAAGAATACTGGAGTGGGTAGTTTATCCCTTCTCTAGGGGATCTTCCCGACGCAGGAATTGAATGGGAGTCTCCTTCCTTGCGGGCAGATTCTTTACCAGCTGAGCTACCAGGGAAGTCCTAAATGGAGAGGGCGAAGGTTCAATCCCTGGTCAGGGAACTAAGATCCCACATGTTGCACAGTGCGGCCAACTAAATTTTATATACACACACACACACACACACACACACATATATATATATTTTAAAAGCTTTATAATCCACATAATTAGCCCCAAAAGCAGCAAGAAGGGGTCCCTGACTCCCTCTACACACCTGTTTCCCTGGCCCATAATCTAGCGTCAGACCAACAGAACAAAGGGCAAGCCTCCTGCCCAGAAACAGTTCTCTTATCCCTGGTATCAGTATTTGGAATCTCTGTATAGTAATTCATTTCTTCAGGATAAAAAGAGCCCTCATTTGTGGCTCTCTCATATTACAAGTGCTGACTTCACTGATTCCTCACCAGGAATGAATCTGCTCGCTCTCCACCATCTAGAAGGTCAAGGTCTGGAGCAGCGGAAGAGAGGAGGGAAGCACAGGGCCAGGCAAACGGACGGTAGGCATCGGGCTCCGTCACGGACTCTTCACAGGTCTCTCTAGGACTGGTCCTGCACCCCACTGTCCCTTTTTTTTTGGTTCCATTTGTTATTTTTTTTATTGGAGTGTCATTGCTTTATTATGTTGTTAGTGTCTGCGGTACAACAAAGTGCGTCGGCTCTAAGTACACACATGTCTCCTCCCTCTAGAACCTCTCTCCTTCCCGCCTCCCCGCCATCCCACCCCACTCGGGCATCACCGCGCTGAGCCGAGCTCCCTGGCTGTACACCAGCTTCCCACGAGCTGTTTTACACGACAGTATGTGTGGTCAATTCTACTCTCTCAGTTCACAGCCTCTCTCCCCTCCCCTGCTGTGTCCACAAGTCCATTCTCCACCGTCTGCGTCTCTATCCCCACCCTGCAAAGAGGTTCCTCTGTGCCGTTTTTCTAGATTCCATATATGCCAGTGTCCCTCCCTTCTAGGACATCATTACGCTTTCTGAATAAGGGTTCTTTATCCCAAGT